GCCCTATTGTGTGTCATTTCACAATCTCACATATGCTTCAGATCGTTGTGACAGCCACTGTGTCAATCCATTTTTCTCTGACCCTCTACTTCTCCCAGCATGTCTAAAACCAAGAATTGTTGCTCAAATGCCCAAAGGATGTGAGATGAAGTTTTTCCGTCCAGGCCTGTGAAGAGCACCCTGGTTGCACTCCCTCCAAGCCAGACTTGTCGGTCCTTTTGGCAGTCCACAGGATATTCAGTATCCTTCTTCAGCATCACAATGTGTACTGCCACTGTTAACGCTTTTTAAAAATGGTATTTGCAACGAATAGATAATTCATTCTACTAAATTCTATCATTCGATCTTTAGCCTCATTTTCATTTCCAACTTTTGCATACTAGCCACCAATTATTAATGCCTCTTGATTGCACGTTCGAGTAATTTCAGACTGGAAAAGCTGATAGAAGTCCTTCATTTCTTCATCTTTGGCTTTAGTAGGTGGAATATACATTTGAATATTAATTGTATTAACAGGTATATAAAAAATTTTTCTTTTATATTTGTTTACATACTAAATTCATATATATATACATATATATATGTATATATATATTGTTGTTATGCCATCGAGTCGTTTCCGACTCATAGCGACCCTATGCACAACAGCTCTAAACCCTGCTCTATCCTGCGCCAACCGCACCGCCTCTGACACACCCATCCCGATTACCCCAGTCACCGAGTCAATCCATCTCATAGAGGGTCTTCCCCTCCTGCGCTGTCCCTCCACCCTCCCAAGCATGATGTCCCTCTCCAAGGACCCGTCCCTCCTGACAACATGTCCAAAGTATGTCAGACGAAGCCCCAGAATCCTTGCCTCCAAGGAGTAGCTTGGTTTAATCCTCTCCAAGATGAATCTGTTTGTTTTCCTGGCAGTCCATGGTACATTCAGTACCCTTCTCCAGCACCACAGCTCAAAAGCATCCACTCTCCTTCTGTCCTCCCTAGTCATTGTCCAACTCTCTGATGCGTAACAAGCTTGCATTCCAGTCACCCATTATTATCAATGCATCTTGATTGCATGTTCGATCTATCTCTGACTGTAAAAGTTGGTAGAAATCATCTATTTCTTCTTCTTTGGCTCTGGTTGTTGGTGCATATATCTGAATGATAGTGGTATTTACTGGACTTCCTTGTAAGCGTATGGATATGATCCTGTCACTCACGATGTTGTACTTCAAGATGGATCTAGAAATAACTTTTTTTACTATAAAGGCAACCCCGATTTTCCTTGTCTTTTCATCTCCAGAGTAATATATCATATGGTCATCAGACTCAAAATGCCCCATGCCAGTCCATCTCATCTCTCCAATGCCTAATATGTCAATATTTATGCGTTCCATTTCTTTCTTAACAATTTCTAATTTTCCTTCATTCATGGCTCTCACATTCCATGTACCAATCACTAGTGTCTGCTTACAGCTGTTCCTCCTCCCTTGTGTTTCCATACTTGATGGTTCTATGTAGGTTGCCCTTTTTGTTAATCTGCGTGTGTTCTGTTGTGCATAGGGTTTTCAGAGGCCTGCTATTTCAGAAGTGGGTGGCCAATCCTTCTTCCTAGTCTGTCTTAATCTGAATGTTCAGATTTAGAGGAGTATCTGACAGACAGCAATTTGTGGAGCAGTTAAAGATAAATCCCTTATTGTGGGGGTAAGGGTTAGTTAAAGTGTTGACCCCACCCTTAGCCCAATGCCATTACCCACTTACTTCCCAGCTCCACCTTATTTCATATATTCCTTCATTCATGTTGTGTTTCACAATAATTCCCATATACTGTGTTTTATAAAATTAATTTCCATAAATTATGTCCACCATTAGCCCATCTTTTCAGGTCCCCAGGAGATCTTTCCCATTTTCTTTACCTCCTCCCTTTACCCATCAAATTGTGGGACCCTGTGATTTCACCTCTGCCCACCCTCATCCCTCTGCTCCCATTTTTTTCTTCCCTTGGACTCCCATATACATTTTGCTAGTTGTCCTTCAATTTTTATAATAATGATCTTACACAGTATTTGTGCTTATGAGACTGAGTTAATTCACTCGGCATAATGCTCTCCACGTCTCTCTCAAGTAATGTAGTAGTTTTTGAAATTATTGCTCCTGAGTGGGACATATTATTCCATTGTGTGAATGTACCACCATTTCTCAATCCATTTGCTTGTGGTTGGACATCTGGGCTATTTTCATGTTCTTGTATTTCTGAATTTATGGTGTAGTGAGTATTGGTGTACAAACCTCCATTTCTTTCTCAGTTCTATTTTTCTTGGGGTATATTCCTAGCAGTGGAACAGATTGGACATATGGAATTTCTATGTTCAGCTTTTTGAGGAAATGCTAAATGGCCTTCCAGAGTTGATGTACCATTTTACAATTACAACAACAGTGTTTAAGAGTTTCAATCTCTCCACATCCTCTCCAACATTTATTGTTTACTGTCCTGTTAAACTTTGCCACTGATACTGGGGTGAGATGGTTCCTCATTGTCGTTTTGATTTGCATATCTTTAACTGCCAGTGATTTCATGCATTTCTTCATGTGTCTGTTGGTCATACAAATGTCTTCCTCTGTGAAAAGTCTCCCCATATCTTTTGCCCATTTTATAATTGAGTTATCAGTCTTTTTCTTGTGGTGGTCCTCTAGTATTCTTAATAGGTATTTTTGTAAAAATTATATTAAGATGTATGCATATGGATAGTATCCTACCACTCATATAATGGTACTTCAAGATAGATCTTGAAATGTTTTTTTGTGTAAAAAATGCGACATCAGTCATCCTTGGTCATTCCTGGCACAATAGATCCCATGATTATCTGACTCAAAGTGGCCAATATCAGTCCATCTCAGCTCACTAACACCTAACATGTTGATACTTAAGCTTTGCATTTCATTTTTTTGACAAGTTCCAATTTTCTTCATAATTTGTACATTCCATGTTTACAGTTATTTCTCCTCACTTTTTTGAGAGCCTTCCAATCTGAGTGGTTCATTTTCTGGCACTATATCCACCAGTGTTCCTCTGCTAATTGTCAGGTTTTCAAATAATAAACTTCACTAAAGGTGAGGTGAGATTAATTTGAGAATTATCTAGGGAAAATATGTAAAAATAAGTAAATGATTTTAGGGGGGCTGGTTATAAAGAACTTATCGAGGGTGGGAAATAATTTTATGCTGCAAGCCAATTTTGTTTACTTGTCTGCATATAATGCCATACACTGTAAAAATATCTGAGATGAAAATACATTTAATGGAGAAAAGAACCAAAATGATTTCCCATGAAGTACACAATGGGAGTAGGGTAGGAGGTGGGAAAGGGGGGACCACATGTTGTATCTTTGCCATGCCGGGCTACAGTGGCTTAATTTCTGACTATTATTAGAATATTGGTATTGTTAAAGGGGATTGAGTATATTGAAAAATGTACAGATTTAGGTCAGGAGAAACTATTTTCCATGGTTATCTGCGATACTGTGGGCATCCATGGGGGGAGAGTTATATATATAATAAGTTATATATATATATGTGTGTGTATGTATGTGTGTGTGTGTGTGTGTGTATATATATATATATACATGTAACTTAGGAATCAGTAGGAGATGAGACAGATGAGGGGATTTTCCCAGGATGGCAAGTAGAGACAGAAAAACAGGGGCCCAAGAATGGAAGCTTCTGAAACAATAAGACTGAAGGGCTAAAAAGGGTTGAGATCTGCAAAGGAGAAAGAAAAGTAAAAGAATGGCCAGGAGAGAATACAGTGTTATGAGTACTCCTAGAAAGGACTTGTGAATAAAGGGGTAGGGTGGAAGAGATGAACCATACCAAGAGAGAAGCAGAATGGTTTCTAATGGTCTTTAGAGACACAGACTAGAAAATATTTTTTACAAATTACCTGCAGGTTACTTTTGGAAAGGAAGTTAGACTAAAGTATGCTGTGGGGTATGAATATGATGTACAAGAGTATAGACAAACAATAACGCTTAGCCAGAAAACTGTAATGAGAAGATAAGAGAGTTAAGACAATGACATGGGAAGATGCAAAGCAGGCCTGAAGGAAGTAGAGAGGCATGAAATGGTCCTTGTTGACCAGCGCTCCAGTTGCAGAGACATTGAAAGGGGAAAGGCATCATGTTTTCCTACTGATATTCTCTGGGGACCCATCAGAAACATTTCCTTTTCTTAAGGCTCTTCTACGTGTGGTCTAGACTTCCATTTACAGAAGGCACATGACACAAAGTATGTGGCACCAGCTGGGGAACAGGCTGAACAGAACCAAGAAATCCTTCTGTGCTTTCTTAATGCAAATTTAGGCTACTACCTGACAGACAAATGCTTTCCTCCGTTCAGCCACTGATCATAGCACCAAAAAAAGTATTCATTCCATATTTTAAATTATTTCAATCTTTCATGGTGATAACTATGAATCTAGTGTTTCATAGACACTACATATAGGGAGGCCTCAAGAAAAGCATGCCACTGCTTTCCTCAAACCAACAAAACAAAAAAGAACAAAACAGAGTGAAAATTGAATCAAGAGTAAGCAGTTCAAAGTTTCCACCAAGCAAAGTACAAAATACATCTAATAGAGAACAGGGGCCTGTGAGTCACCAAGACTAACCCACAACTATTCTACTAATAATTGGCATTAATACCACAAGAATTTTGGTGCTGTATTTGAAAGGCAATTGTTTTGAGGAAACATATGTTGCAACAAGTGAGAATAAATTATTTTGAGTGGAGTAAAACTAAGACTTTGGGGGCTAGACAGGAATGAAAGGTCACAAGCAGGAAAAACAAAGGCATTTGAAATAATTCATTTCAGAAACGAAACCACTATAAAGTTTAATAATAACAGATTTGAGAGAGTGACTAGATAAACAATGACTCTGACAAGAGACATTTTTTCCAAGGCAAGAAATAATATATTTTTACATGCTAATTAGGCAAGCAATAAAAATACTCCTTACATTCTGAGAAGAGCCTTATAAAATGGCCGTGTGAAGAAGGCATCCAACAAATACTGGTGAATTAGTGCAAGACCGAGGATCCGACCGCTGAACCGAAACCTGAGAAGGAATGGGATGAGACAGCTTTCACCCCATGGAGCAATTTCAAAATGTCTTCCAGCACCAAACAACTAAATGTAATGTGTCTAAGAATACTTGTCTACTAGGCTCCTCACAGTCTGTGCGGAATATCTGCTTAATTAGCCAACCACTCCTACCAACTTCATGAAAACACAATACTCCACTTTCACTAAGGTCCATAATGTCCCCTGTGTAGCACCCCATATTTCCCACATAAATTCCCCATTTGAATTAATGAAATTCAGAAATAACTGAAATTTCCCCAAACCACTTCTAAGAGATGTTGACTGAATGAGCCCACTGGTAGTGAGGAAAACGCAGCTTGCATAGTTAGCAGGACTTTTTCTGAGACAAGCTCAGTAGCAATTCCCTTTTGAGGAAAAGCCCAACCTCAGTTCCTAACCTAATACTCTCTGAGATGCCACTCCTGATGATCACGGTTATCATCCTAGAATTATGGAGAAGGACATTTAGGGGAGTTTCTTCATGGGACATTCTGTTCCCTAAAATCTCAAGGCTCAATTCTATTCTGAATCACTCTGGGAACTTTAGTCAAATTATCTGTTGGGACTCGATTAGCTGACTGAGCTGTTCACTTATTTTCTCTTTCAAAAATATTTGATTTCTAGCTCCTCAAAAGTCCGAAGCCTTCCAAAACTGTAAATCCAAAATGATGAGGTTCTTCTCATTAGTCTGTAATTTAAATTTAGGCAGCCATTTGAAGATTAAGGCCCAGTAGCTCATTTTTCTTTCTTTTCACTTAAGCTAGTTAGCACTGGCTATAATAGTTACATTTAGGACAACTCCAAACTGTAGCTCCATGGAAGTTCATTTGGAGACAAAGTCGAAAAAAGTAATGCTCTCCACCCACCATTATTAACCTCATGACCCCAAGAAGCTTTTCCCCTGAGTTCTCTCCATGTTCTTTCTTTTGTTGCTATCAGTGAAAATGAAGAGGAACAACCCAATCAGGATTACAAAAATATTCAAAGTCTACCAATGTAGGGATTTAGAAAACAAATTTAAGGACATTCTGATGTCGAATATTCAGAATAAGTAACCCTCAGGTATCTTTTCCTTCCTGATTTTTTTTAAACTAGAAAAATCACGTTTCTTGACTGCAAACATCAAATGGTGGGGACTAGCCAGCTGCTTCCCTTTAGCCGGGGTTCCCTTCTGTCCTCCAGGTCACTGCGTCCTACTCTTCCTCCCCCCTACCCGCCAGAAGACCAGAGTCACTTCCATCAGTTTCTTCAGTGAGCTACTCTGTGCTCCACCCCTACTCCCAGGGTTAGCTTTCCCCAAGGACTCCTCTAGAAAGCTGCCTGACTTTTGGGTCAGGCCCTTTCCCTACTTATTCCACCCCCCACCCATTCACAGATGTCCAAAGGTGCTGACAGGGACTCAGGGATCTCCCTGGGAATCTAGTATCATCTGTAACTTTACTTCTTTGGGAAAATAATTTCTAATTTTACCCATCTTAAACTGACTTTATGAAACATAATCTAAGCCAAGTTTAGAGACTACCTGTATATTTAAATTTGGAAGCAAAATCAAGATTCAAGGGAGATATTTAACTGAAATACTATTTTTGTCTATGAAAAAGTTTTAAAATATGAGCTCATGTCAAATATTAACATCATAGCAAATCAATGGAAGAAATGTGATAAGAAAAAGCATACAACTTACCATTCATGGTGATTGTCTACAAAAGCAGACATGGGACTTATTTGTACTGTGTATGTGTCATTGGCTGAATATTCAAATAAGCCATAATATGGGTTAAAGAGTTCTCTGGATACCAGGAAGAAAAACTCTCTGGAAGGTCCACTGTAGTCCAGCCTTTAAAAAAACAAAATCACAAAAAGAACCCCAATTAATTTTTTTAATCTGTATATATAAGGCCTGTTTTCTACCAAGCACTCACTGTAAGTCTAATTGTCCACATATCATATCACGACTGTCTAAGACAATGTGATGGATGATGGTTGCTAGGTTACACTCAGGTCCTCACCCACAAATGGAATTGGATGTGCTCAGAGAGCATCTCCAAAAGGAAATGACACATCAAGTAATGCATAAAACAAGCAGTACGGGAAGAAATTTCTTTTATATACGTGTATGAAAAGCTAAATGTCTATAGGAAGATTTCTGAAGCACAGTGGTGCAATGGGAACGCCTTACATAAACAAGGTGTCCTGGGGGTGCAGCGGTTAGGTGCTCAGCTCCTACCAAACAGGCCGTCAGCTGGCACCTACCAGCTGCTCTGTGGGAAAAGATACTGTAATCTGCTTCCATAAATACTATGGCTTTGTAAACTCTATGGGACCGTCCCACTCCATCCTATAGAGTTACTATGAGATAGGCATTTATTTAAATGACTTAAAACCTGAAGGAAACAGCTACCTCCATCTGAAGGAGAGAGAGTCCTCATGAGTTTCAGAAATTTCTAACTGGGGTGGGGGAAGAGGCTCCATGAATTGTAAAGAGGATATTACTGATATAAAGTTGCCTGTAGAGATCAGAAGCAAAACATAAAATGGTAGAATTCACGGGAAAACTCAAAAAACACTAAGTAAAAATACAGACAAGGAAATTGAAGGTGCTGACAGTTTCCTAAGAGAGATTTGGAGCAGTGGCTGAAATTCTAGCTCCTGAACTACATACAGTGCAAATTCCATTTTCCTTACAAAGATATTATCAGGGTCAAAGTGAAGTATAAGAAAATATTGTATTAGATGTGAGGGATGACAAGTTGTTAAGAAGCCTGAGAGCAAACATCTATAGTAAGAGAAATCTGCATTAAAGCAATCTGGTATGCTGAATTTGAAATGAAAATATAAAGTTCATGTAGCCTTTGAGAAAAAGCATATGCACTGGGTTCAAAGCCTGGAAGCAATGAAAGAGGAATGAAAACAACCGACACATTCGATGGTAGGAGTATCAAAGACTTTAGTTTTACCCTGACTCTATTACTTAAATTTTTTTTCCTTTTAGAATTTTCTTTATGGACATTATTGAATTGCATTTTCCCCCCCCATGAAAAAGAAGTCTTTTGACTCTCGTCCAGGAAAAAGAAATGGAGAAAAGAATGGGGGAAGAATAATGGATGTGTTTTGAGGATAAGCTGAAGAAATGGTTAGGATACTAATATAAAAAAAGAAAATGTCTTTTCATATTTTTGTATGTCTGTCTTATGGATTTAAAAGAACTATATACATAGAAGAGAGTACAGCTGCCCACGTACTAGTTTCCTGATTTTTTACACATTTGAGTATCTCTCTGCTAATATTTACTTAAGAAGCCCTGGTGGTATAGTGTGCAATGCATTAGCCTGTCAATCAGAAGGTTAGTGGTTTGAATCCACTAATTGCTTTGAGGAGAAAAGGTAGGTAGTCACCTCTCAAGATGACTTACATTCTCAAAAATCTGATGGAGGACCATTATGAGTCAGAACTGACTCAACAGCAGTAGGTAGGATTTATTACTCATTTTCTCATTAATCAATTTTAAATTTACTTTCTTTTGACATGTGCCCTTCTTTCTAATACTCACTAAAAGAGATACAAATATACTACCAAACATTTTTAAAGTGAGCCTTCATAGTAGCTGAAACTATCCCACACCACAAAATACTCAGATCCACACTGTGTTTTGGGAGAGTAACCTGCCAAGAAAGCAGTGTGTAGAAAACATGAAGCTTCTTGGGGACAAAAGGCCATGAAAACAATATAATGGACCTGCACTGTGAGGCAGCCCGGTCTAGTGTTGCTAACAGGTTGTCACCAGGCTCTGTCAGGACCATCTTCAGGCCACTATGGGGACTTCCAATGCAGCACTTCTACTGCCTCAGCTGCAAGGATGGACAGAATGTCTCTTCTCATGCTGACAGGAAAGCAGTCTCTTTGTGACTATTTCCCACTGTTCTATTTTCGGCCTCCGAAGCCAAAAGAACAAGTAGAATACTTTATTCACGTGAATGTTCTTCACATAGTTAGAGGCTTCTGTCAACAAATAGTTTTTGATCAGGTTTTAGCAGAAGCCCTGCTGCTAACCAGAAGGTGGGTACTTGAAACCCACTAGCTGCTCTGTGGGAGAAAGATGTGGTAGTTTGCTTCTGTCAAGATTGCACAGCAATGCAAACCTACTTTTGTCCATAAAGGTTTCTGTGAGTCAGAACTGACTCAATTGCAGTGGGTCAGCTTGTATGTTTTAGGCAGTAATTTAGAAATTAAAAATAAAAATGTTAAAAGTCACCTTAAAAATAGGAATTCTGTACTTAGCAGTTCTGGATGCCTGGACTCTGCCCTTCCTGACTCCTACTTTACTTCTGAGCATGCCCACACTCTCCAACATTCAAGGAAGGGTTTTGAATTCCCTTGTGAACCTGATCACTATTCTCTGGATTCTCTCCAGAGTTTCAAAGTCTGACAAGGTGTGGTATCTAGGATAGGTCATAGCAATCGAGGTGTGGTCTTGAAAGCACAGAGCTTTGAAAGGATTCTGGTCCTTTCTTCCTGGATATTTCTCTCCACTGACAAGAGTTTAATCTTACCCTCCCTATTGGGGCAGTTACTTTACTTTGTCGACTCATAAGGAAGTCATCATCATCTAAAGACCCAAGACTTTCATCTAAGCTTCTTTAATCTGGAACTCTCCAGTCCTGTCTCCCTGTAACTATATCAAAATCTGCATAGAAGACTTTATACCTTTGTCTGCTAAATTTTACTTTGTCAGTTCTAGCCTATGACTTTAGCCTAACAAGAGCCTTCAGGGTAAGCAAAACATTTTTCCCCCAGACCCCTTGCCAGATATGTATTTTTTTTAAAATTGTGATTTTAGTGAAAGTTTACATGAAGGATAGGTTTTCTCTCATTCTTTGATAGATATTTTCCTCCATCCACTTTCCCCAATTTATTCTATAATGCATATCTTATTCCAGATTCCAACTGTCATACATAGAGGGTCTAATCGCCCATTCCTTTCATGCTCTACTCTGTTCCCTGTGTCTACCCTACTTTAAAAACAGCGGTCTTAGGCATATTTGTCCTATGACTGAGATAATTCATTCAGCATAATATTTTCTACACTCACGCACGTTGTGTAGTACCTCTTGAAGGTTCTGGTTAATGCTGAATTTCATCAGCAGATATGTCCCTCTGTATTTCCAGAAACAGAGAATGTCAGAGGTAAAAGGGAGCTGAGAAATTATTTTATCTGATTATTTCATTTAATAGAGAAGACTGAAGCTGAAGGAAGTCCATCAACTTGGGTCAAATGAGTGTTCCCATGAAGTAAGCAGACCTTAATGGAGGTTTTCAAGTTTAAAGCTCATACCTCCTTATAGTTTGCCCTTCAATATATTTGAAACGCCATCAAGACTGAATAAAAGATGTTGTTTATTCCAACTCACAATAACTCAATGTTAGAACAACACACCACTTGGCTCAAGAAACAACATATGAGCAAGAGGCAATGGTGATGGAGGAGAAGTACAGGTTGCTCTGAAGGACTTGGCAAAAAAGAAAGCCCTAGGAATAGATGGAATACCAATTGACATATTTCAGCAAAAAGATACTGCCCTGCATGTGCTCACCAAGTTGTGCCAAGAAATCTAGAGGACAACTTGGCCAGCTGACTGGAAGAGATCCATATTTATTCCCATCGAACAATATCACTAATATCACACACCAGCAAAATCCTGCTGAAAATTATCCAGAAACAAGTGGAACAGTACATTGACAAAAAACTACCAGAAATGCAAGCTGGGTTTAGAAGAGGTTGTGACACTAGGGACATTATTGCCAATGTCAGATGTATCTTGGCAGAAAGCAGAGAGTACCAAAAGAATGTCTATCTTTGTTTCATTGACTATGTAAAGGCATTGGACTCTCTCTCTCTCTCTCTGTGTGTGTGTATCAAAATAAATTGTGGCTAACCTTGAGAAAAATGGGAATCCCAGAACAGTTGATTGTGCTTATACAAAACCTATACTTTGACCAGGAAGCAGTCCTCAGACTAGAACAAGGAAACACTGTGTGGTTCAAAATCAGGAAAGGAGTGTATCAGGGATGCATCCTGTCCTCATACCTTTTCAATCTGTATGCAAAACAGATCATTTGGAAAGCAGGTCTTTATGAGGAGGAATGTGGCATCAAGATTGGAAGAAGATTTATTAACAACCTACAATATTAAGATGACACAATCTTGCTTTCTGGAACTGAAGAAGATCTGAAGCACTTGCTGCAAAAGGACAAGGACTATAGTCTTCAATATGGATTGAAGCTCAACATCAAGAAGACAAAGATTCTCACAACCAGGCCAACTGGCAGCACCATATTAGATGGAGAAGAGATTGAGGTTGTTAGCAATTAAAACTTGCTCGGATCCACAATCAACATTCTTAACACCAGCAGTCAGGAAATCAAATTATGAATTGCACTGGGAAACTCTGCTGTTATGGACTTCTCCAGAGTGCTGAAAAGCAACAATGTCAATCTAGAGACAAAGGTGCACCTAATCCAGATCATGGTCTTCTCAATTACTTTTTATGCATCAGAGAGTTGGACAATGACTAAGGATAACAGAAGAATAATAGATGCCTTTGAGCTGGAGTGCTGGAGAAGAGTCTTGAACATACCATGGACTGCCAAGAAAACAAATAGGTCTCTCCTTGGTGGCTAGGATTTTGAAGCTCCACCTCATTTACTTTGGGCACGTGGTCAGGATAGATTTGTCGTTGGGGAAGGACATCATGCTTGGAAGGGTGGACAGACAGTGCAGGAGAGGGAGACCTCAGACCAGATGGGTTGATATAGTAACTGGGGCTATAGGAGGTGGTG